TCTATCCTTAAAAAAAGACGGCGGTTCATAAGAACAAGGTCAAGCAGCAGACATTGGGGACAACAAAACTACAGGGGGTTCAGACCGGCAGAGGGCGAAAACGACTCTCTACTGACCAGGATGACTGCCAACTCATTCGAATGTCACTCAACAACCGTAGGATGACATCAAGTGACCTACAAAAAGAATGGCAAACGGCAGCTGGGGTGAAGTGCACGGCGAGGACGGTTCGAAACAGGCTCCGAGGGGCAGGGCTGAAGTCATGCAAAGCTAGAAAAAAGCCCTTCATCAATGAGAAGCAAAGAAGAGCCAGGCTGAGGTTTGCAAAATACCATTAGGATTGGGCCGTAGAGGACTGGAGTAAGGTCATCTTCTCTGATGAGTCCAATTTTCAGCTTTGCCCAACACCTGGTCGTCTAATGGTTAGACAGAGACCTGGAGAGGCCTACAACCCACAGTGTCTCGCACCCACTGTGAAATTTGGTGGAGGATCGGTGATGATCTGGGGGTGCTTCAGCAATGCTGGAATCGGGCAGATTTGTCTTTGTGAAGGACGCATGAATCAAGCCACGTACAAGGTTGTCCTGGAAGAAAACTTGCTTCCTTTTGCTCTGACATTGTTCCCCAACTCTAAGGATTGGTTTTTCCAGCAGGACAATGTGCCATGCCACACAGCCAGGTCAATCAAGGTGTGGATGGAGGACCACCAGATCAAGACCCTGTTATGGCCAGCCCAATCTCCAGACCTGAACCCCTTTGAAACTTCTGGAATGTGATCAAGAGGAAGATGGATGGTCACAAGCCATCAAACAAAGCCGAGCTGCTTGAATTTTTGCGCCAGGAGTGGCATAAAGTCACCCAACATCAATGTGAAAGACTGGTGGAGAGCATGCCAAGACGCATGAAAGCTGTGATTGAAAATCAGGGTTATTACACCAAATATTGATTTCTGAACTCTTCCTTACTTAAAACATTAGTATTGTGTTGTTTAAAAATGAACATGAACTTATTTCTTTGCATTATTCGAGGTCTGACAACACTGCATCTTTTTTGTTATTTTGACCAGTTGTCATTTTCTGCAAATAAATGCTCTAAATGACAATATTTTTATTTGGAATTTGGGAGAAATGTTGTCAGTAGTTTATAGAATAAAACAAAAATGTTAATTTCACCCAAACACATACCTACAAATAGTAAAACCAGAGAAACCAATTTTTTTCCAGAGCTTTATATCAATGAACTGGCGAGGGCACTAGAACAGTCTGCAGCACCCAGCCTCACCATACTAGTCAAATGTCTGTTTGCGGATGATCAGCACCTAGATCTTCTGCACAGATTCTGTTAGACCTGGGCCTTGACAGTGAATCTCAGTAAGAAAAATAATGGTGTTCCAAAAAAGGTCCAGTTGCCAGAACTACAAATTCCATCTAGACACTGTTGCCTTAGAGCACACAAAGAACTATATCTACTTCGACCGAAACATCAGAATCACAGGTAACTTCCACAAAGCTGTGAACAATCTGAGAGACAAGGCAAGAAGGCCCCTTTTACGCCATTAAAAGGAACATAAAATTCAACATCCCAATAAGGATCTGGCTAAAAATACTTAAATCAATTATAGAACCCATTGCCCTCTATGGTTGTGAGGTCTGGGGTCCACTCACCAACCAAGAATTCACAAAACGGGACAAACACCATGCAGAATTCTGCAAAAACACCCTCCGTGTACAACATACAACCCAAAATAATGCATACAGAGCAGAATTAGGACGATACCCGCTATTTATCAAAATCCAGAAAAGAGCAGTTAAATTCTACAACCACCTAAAAGGAAGTGACTCCCAGAGAGAGGGGAGACAGAGAGATTTATTTTACTCAAACCACCTACTGTTGACCACCTACCCTCTGATTGTCAGGAAATGACTAGATGGATTTGGTTTAGTTAGTGGCTGTTCTGGGTAAGGGGAAACTGTACGGAACAGAGGACCGTGAGAGAGACAGAGAGAGAGAGGTCTGAGCTGGATATAGGCTATGTGACAGTGGTAACCAAGGATGACATTTACATTTACGTCATTTAGCAGACGCTCTTATCCAGAGCGACTTACATTATTTAATTTTTTTAATTTTTCATACCCCGTGGGAAACGAACCCACAACCCTGGCGTTGCAAACGCCATGCTCTAACAACTGAGCTACATCCCTGCCGGCCATTCCCTCCCCTACCCTAGACGACGCTGGGGCAATTGTGCGCCGCCCCATTGGTCTCCCGGTCACGGCCGGCTACGACAGAGCCTGGATTCGAACCAGGATCTCTAGTGGCACAGCTAGCACTGTGATGCAGTGCCTTAGACCGCTGCGCCACTCGGGAGACCACAGGCTACCCAAGAGGACAAGGTGGGTGAATTACAACTGACACGCAGTGTGTGTGTGTTGTGTGTTGTCTGTGAAAGAAATAAGGAGGGAGATTGGGGGAAGAGATCTGTGGAAACACGCAAGCCTCGAACTTCAAGATGAAATGCTGATGGTCCCTGTAAGGCAATAGAGAAAACATTGATAAATAATGCTGACGTATATTCTATTTATAAAACACTACAAATATGGATACTACACTCTTCCCCCAGCTCTGAACTCTCCCTCCTTCCCTCTGTGCTCATCCATAAGCATAAGTAGACTAGGACCTAGAACCTACTCCTTGTTCTGAGTGATCACTTGTGACATGGAAGTCTTCTCTTATCAATGCCGATTAAGATCAACACTACACAGTCACTGGCTGATTCATATTCAGGGCCCACTACTAGGTTATGTCCCAAATCACACCCTATTCCCTACATAATATACTACATTTGACCAGAGCCCTATAGGCCCTAGTCAAAAGTAGTGCACTACATAGGGAATAGGGTGCCATCTGGGACACACCCTTAAAGACTGAACACAGAGCGGACGTCACCATCTTAGCTCTAGCCAGTGAAGAGAGAGGAGAGGGAGGGAGCAAGAGAGAGATTAGCTTAGTGGTTTGAGAGGCATTTTACTCAAGCTTCACAGATATGAAACGCTCAGGGATGACACTACTGTACATGCTAAAATTCTGAACTCAAGTAAATTTATTCATTTTTCAAAGTTATCAACAACAACAAAAATTCAGCTCTCTGTTACATTCTATGAACAAGGAGAATTTCAGGAGATATCCACATTCATAAAGTTGAATGTTGCAGTGGTGAGCATCTCTGGAGTATGTCACGCTCATTAGCAGGAGGTAAACGTCTAATGAGGTAAACACTTACCTCACATCTAATGAAGTAAACGTTATTGGCAGGAGGCATACGTTGTGTGCCTGTCAGTGACCTAGCTGGATCATCCCTACCTGACATGGAGCCAAGTCGTTTTCCGAGAGCCTTTCTGTGTAACGCATCATCGCCGTCCTGACTAATTGAGCTTAATGTAGTAATCACTAGGAACTCAGGTCTCTGGCTGACTCCTGATGTGATACTATATCAAATTAGGACCATTAGGACCCCTTAATCACCACGCTCTCTCTCTTTTTATGGCAGGTTCATCACGGGTAGGTGTTTAATGGTTGTTTACTTATGCAGATCACAGATGTTAGAGCGGAGAGAGGCACTGTTGTTTCCATTTAGATAGATTCAGTGAGAGCTGCATTTGTCAGGGAGTTTGAGGGCGATTGCCTCCATTCTTGTGGCAACACTACTGACATGTTTCACATAACACAAGATAGGCCTATTGAAATATTGCACAAATAATTATGAGACCAATTCTACAATAAGAGTGATAGAACCAGGAGACATGGTCGTTGCACAGGTGAGTTCTTTATTGCATGCCATTTTCTCACATCCAAAGTCTCAAACGAAGGGTGCTGCATGGAGGAAGACTGGGTTTACATGGTCCAGGTCTGGGGTACCAAGCCACCACATCAGCTCCAGAACACAAAATAAAGTAAAACAACTCAAATACAGCCAGCCAGAAGGTAGTGAAATTATTAGTGTGTGTGTGTGTTTGTCTGTACATCAGAGGATCATCAGGGTGGAAGCAAGGCACAAACCCTCTCGACAGCTTGCCCTATAAACTGTGATAAAAGGGAAACCAGCGAATACTCTTATACAATTAGCTCATATTAGAAAACGGCAGGATGCATGACACCGTCACTCCCTACCCACCTCCTTTCATGACTCAACTACCCTGCATCATACAATATATCCAGAACACAACTAAATTCACAACTCAAAGTAGAACTAGGGAGCAACCATATCAGGCTAGCCTCTGAACTCCAGGCCCAGGCTTTCTTTTCGGCCTAGTTCTTCTCAGAGGAACTCATACTACACTACCTTTCCTAATTGCAACTAAGATTATGCACCGAAAAAGTGTGAAACAGACCAATCCTGCTGGGTAATGTAGTTTTGGACCCAATTTGTAGTTTGGACTGCTCCATTTCCTTATATACTTTGTCTTTGGCAACTACTTAACTGTGAACATATTTTAAACAGCTGAAACTTTTTGGAAGAATATCATTACTCATGTTTTGATGGCAAGGTGCAAAAATTGTGCATAACATGGGAGTCATTACTTATAAACCTCAATCTTTTCTCACCCACTTTTCCTTCCTCAGGGACACACTCAAAAGGTTAATACGAGAAAAGAGGAGCAGTGACAAAAACTAAGAAACACTGGAGTTAAGCATAAAATACCTGCGTCAGACCCAGCCCACTGGCACAACTGGGCCTGAGGTATATCTTAACACTGACTGACAGGAGATACATATGGTCATGGGGTGGATAAGGATATGAGTATGTGCTCTCACAACATTGTGGGTGTGTTGTTTGATAACATTGTGGGCATGTCGTCCCAACGTTGTGGGTATGTTGGCTGATAACCTGTGGATATGTCGTCTCACGACGTTGCGGGTGTGACGTCTCACGACGTTGCGGGTGTGACGTCTCACGACGTTGCGGGTGTGACGTCTGATAACATTGTGGGTATGTTGTCTCAGTGTTTGTTCCAGAAGGGGGTGGCGATGGGCCCCTGGACAGACCGCTCCACCACAATCATCTCGTCAGGGTTGTTAAGGGCACCGTAGTGATGCAAAAGCTCTTGGATCGCTGCCTCCTCAATCTGCGAGGAGGAGAGAGAGGGGGACACACAAACATTAGGGTTGAATATCAACAGCTGATCTACAAGTCCTTCAGATTTCCTGTGAGTAGGGAGGCATTTATCAAGGTACTGAATAATTTGGCTGAGTACGTGAGTTCGGTAGACAATCTCACAGTGAAAGAAAATGAAAGGAAAAGCACAGTGTGCATAGTCAACATCAGCTACCCATTTCTGCATGCACACACACACACTTTACCTGAATGAGTGCCAGCGGTTTCTCTCGGCTGCGGATCAGTGCAGCCTCCTGCTGTTTCTCCTCCTCCACGATGGAAGCAAAGGTTACCATGGAGGCCATAGGGGGGCTGCCCGCTGCTCCCAGCACCCAGGGGCTGATCGGTAAAGAAAATGACCATGAGTTTGTGACAGGCTGAACATTCTCCCCCTCAATTGTTCCTTTTTTCCCCCTGTGGTTGTTCAGGGTTTGTTCAAGGCTGGGACAAGGTGACATGTGTTAGGTACATCCTGTAATAATTCTGACGCTGATCTGACACAGAGTGAGAGAGACAGACAGAGACAGACAGAGAGAGGTCTGCACTGGATATATGCTATGTGACAGTGGTAACCAAGGATGACCACAGGCTACCCAAGAGGACAAGGGTTGGGTGAATTGCAACTGACACGCAGAGAGTGTGTGTGTGAGAAAGAAAACGCTAATGAAACGCTGATGGTCCCCGTAAGGCAATAGAGAAAACATTGATTAATAACGCTGACGTATATTCTACTTATAAAACACTACAAATATGGATATTACACTTCCCCCAGCCCCGAACTCTCCCTCCTTCCATCCCTCCCTCTGTCTGTGCTCATCCATAAGCATGAGGAGTAGACTAGAACCTGGAACCTACTCCCTGTTCTGAGTGATCACTTGTGACATGGAAATCTTCCCTTATCAATGCTGATTAGGATCAGAAGCCAACACTACACCGTCACAGACTCACTGTCTGATTCATATTCAGGGCCAACTACTAGGCAACGTACCAAATGGCACCATATTCCCTACATAGTGCATTACTTTTGACCAGAGCCCTATGGGTCCTGGTCAAAAGTAGTGCACTACATAGGGAGTAGGGTGCCATTTGGGACGCATCCTTAGAGACTGCACAGAGTGGGAACGGACGTCACTGGGAGCATTTCCGATCTGTGGGCTTTCATCTATCTTGGCTCTGGGCAGTGATAAAAGATATACGTCTGGAAGACAGAGGCCCAAACTAAACTCTGGAGACTATGAGGAAGTAAGCGAAAGTCAAGAGCTTCTGCAAAAACAGAGAGATTGATACCATCGGGGTCACACAAGTGCACACACACTTCCTGTAATTCTTTGGCTTGATATGATGTGAGCGATATCTCGCCGATCATGTCACAATTCAAAAAATTGCTATCAAAGTTTGAGTAGAAACATTCACACATTGGTTTCACAAGCATTCCTCAAACACCTCTGCCCATATTATGTGTTAATCTAGAAGTCAACGTTATAGGATACAGCACCAGTACATGAACAATCTACTCATACTGTACACACCAATCTTCTCTTCCAAACTTTTGTTATGTCAAAACACCCAAAAATCTATAATGCTGAAGTTGTATCGTTTACTGTCGTTTCAAATCAGGAGTACACAGTATTCAGTTAGCCTGGTCCCAGATCTGTTTGTGCGCTCTTGCCAACGCCTATGGTTATTTTCATCGTAGCACAAACAGATCTGGGACCAGGCAAGTATTCAGCTCTTTTGGCATCTAAAGCGCTACCAATCCATCTGGTGTCTGAGTGGTGGTGTGGTTCACGGTGCAGGGTGAAGTTGCCTCTAGACGATGATCTTGGGTCAGTTTCCCCATTAATAGTTAAGGTCAGGATTGGGGGAGGGGAAGCTGAAGCTAGGATCCGTTCCTCTGAGAAATTTCACCAGGGGCGTAGTTGACTAGACTATGGGTTCTTCTAACTGACGTGGCAGTCTTGTTGAATGGGAAGTGAAAAGGTCATAGTGACCGTCAGCCGGTTGGCACCACAGCCCGAGCAGTGAGTCACACCCTGCCTCTGGCAGCTGCTTCCCTTTCAGTACATTGACCCTTCGCTAAGCCCCCCCCCCACTTGGTTACATTATTACATTTTAGTCATTTAGCAGACGCTCTTATCCAGAGCGACTTACAGGAGCAATTAGGGTTAAGTGCCTTGCTCAAGGGCACAGACTTTTCACCTAGTCGGCTCGGGGATTAGAACCAGTGACCTTTCGGCTACTGGCACAACGCTCTTAACCACTAAGCTACCTGCCGCCCCACTATTGCAACCTCTAACATTATCCCAGGAAGCCAAATTCCCCCTTCGAACCACAAGCGAAATCCCTTCACAATGATCTCAATATGTGTTTTTAATACACCATGAAATTAAACACAGACTACCCTGGCTCATCAGGAAACTCTTGGGTATATTGTGGTGGGCTGTCATTACAATTGCTTCACAGGAACCTAGGATTGGGTGGTATACCGTATTTTACGATATACCGGAATTGATGCACGGACCGGTTTGGGTTTTTACTTTACCTTCTCTAACGGTATTTGAGTGTTTGGCTTGTTAAATGTGATACGCCGTGTGTAACGTACATTTTTATAGTTTACTTCGCTACTTGAGTCATCTGTCTCCGCTCTCTCTCCATGCTGCTTTCCACACAGACCTAGCCTCGCCCCGTCACTCAAGGAGCGCATGCGTTGTTCCTCAACCACGAGACACTTGCATTCAGTCTGCATGCAGCACATGCAACAATGTTGATGACAAGGATGCTGTTTACACTTTGCTTCTTAATATAAATCCACTAGCGTTCTATAACTACACTATTAGTTTGTGTTTCTTATATCTGAAAACAGCTAGTTTGTATTTTCTTAGCAAGTTGGGCCTAAATCTTGTTAGCTGCTAATGCTAATCGCTTGCTAGTTAATAAATGTAGTCAGATGGTGTAGACCTAAATCAGCATGTTGTTTGTGCAACAGTATCTTCTAAACCAAAGAGGAATATTCGAAGCATGAATATGTTAACTACATGAAGTAGCTAAGAGAAAACATTCAATGTAGCCAAAGATTATTGGATCCCCTAGGAAACACTTATCAACAATTTTGGTTCCTACCCTGTCACAATAACGCCTCCCTGGCATTTTCATTTGTTGTCATGTCAAACAACACTGTATTCAAAGTGCCCACTATTATATTCTAACTATAGAATTAGAATAATTATATTTTCATGATGCCAACAGTTCACCCAAGTGTTTTGCTCTAAATCACAAGTCAAATCGCAATTAGAAAATGTGGTTAAAAATAAGGCCTATGAATTGTGGAAATTATCTCAAATTAGTGCAGGAAATGCAGAAATTATGAAAGTGCTGCTAATTATTTTTGGTTGAATTGAACAGTATAAAACAATCAGAAAGGAGAAAGACCCATTTAAAATCACTTAGAATGTATGTGTTGCCACCCTAGGGTCACGCACCATAAAGCAAAATGTAGAACTTTTATTATTCAAAAACATAAAATACCGTCATATACCGTCCAATTTCTTTTAAATACAGTGATATGATATTTTGGCCATATCGCCCAGCCCTATGGGAACCTGGTAAAATTATGTTTATAGTGTGGTGTGGGGATCTATTTTCTCATAATTGGATCCGTATGTGATGAATAGCTTAGAAGGAATGCATTAATGATAAGCATAGAAGGTTTGTACTATACTGATATAAATTGTTTCACATAACCAGCTGTGATTCATGTGAGGAACGTTAGGGGGTAGGACAGATAAGACTTGTATTTCTTACAGATACGAACACTGCCTCTTTGTTGTCTGTGAACCGTTGTCTGTGAACCGTCCTTGAATGTAGGTACTCACAGTACAGTGGAATGGTGTCTTTTGGGTGCTAACTCCACAGGTTGTTATGATAAAAACGTATGCCTGGCAACAGTGTGCAACGGTGGAGCGCCAAGAGGCTGGGACCAGCCTGTGCGCCAACGGATTGGCTGAGTAAGTCTAAACCACGCTCAACCTCTACCCTGATAGGCCCAGCAGAGAGCGGGAACTAAAACTGTCAGGGTATTTACGGAAGGATTTAGAATGAGGAAGTCAGTTCTCTGAGTGCCCTGCGTGGTATTTCAGTGAACCTGTATACGAACCATCATACTTATCATACATACATTTTGCATATAATAAATTTAGCTTGGATTGAATATCTCTTGATTATGTTTTCTCTTATTCCAATACCAGATTTGAATTACGCAATTTCTAACAGTGGCTACCCACTGAATGGCTCTGAATGCACTGTGCATGCTGTCAAAGCTACTAACCACTTTTGGGGCTAATAAGTGCTCTCAAAACGTTTGCTGATGTCGACAGCAGATAAGTAATTTTCCTAATATTGCCAACATAAACTTAAAGGAAACAAGTTATATTAAGTAGTTCGCTAGCTAGCAACGTTTGGTGCTCAATGAAACAGAGCTAGCTAACCAGTTGAGCTAGCAAAGTATAATTTCGTATTAGAAAAATACTCCAAGAGGCTCTGCATTTCAGTAATCACAGTGAAAAAGGAAGTAAAAAACATATATATATATATTTGAACTCAGTTTTTCCCACTGCCTTTCATGCGTTCATGAGCTTGTCGGAGGTGTTGGACTCGACGACAGTTGCTATCCCTTGGAGTGCTGTGATTGGTTGCCTAAAATTTCAGGGCAGGCTTATCGAAGGGAGTTAGGGCGATATTTTCCTCTCGCTAAAACAATGATGAGTGCAGCATTTTTATCGCCATCTGTGCGTCTGCATAGATCACTTTGCACCTATGTAGGCAGGAGTTTCACGAGAGTGTGTGTAGTAGAGGAGAAGGCTATGCTTATTAGCCTTACTAGCCTTTCTTTTAGTCTAATTATTATGAGCCTTTTAGGCTTTTATTGATGGATAATGTTACAACCACGTCAGAGCTTTTAGCCATCAATAAAGGTGATACTTTGCAAGTATCCCACCATACCTTCTCCGCTATGCAATCCGGTTTCCGAGCTGGTCATGGGTGCACCTCAGCCACGCTCAATGTCCTAAACGATATTATAACCGCGATCGATAATAGACAGTACTGTGCAGCCGTCTTCATCGATCTGGCCAAGGCTTTCGACTCTGTCAACCACCGCATTCTTATTGGCAGACTAAATAGCCTTGGTTTCTCAAATGACTGCCTCGCCTGGTTCACCAACTACTTCTCAGATAGAGTTCAATGTGGCAAATCGGAGGGCCTGTTGTCTGGACCTCTGGCAGTCTCTATGGGGGTGCCACAGGGTTCAATTCTCGGGCCGACTCTTTTCTCTGTGTATATCAATGATGTCGCTCTTGCTGCTGGTGACGCTCGGATCCACCTCTATGCGGACGACACCATTTTGTATACATCTGGCCCTTCATTGGACACTTAACAAACCTCCAAACGAGCTTCAACGCCCATACAACACTCCTTCCGTAGCCTCCAACTGCTCTTAAACACTAGTGAAACTAAATGCATGCTCTTCAATCGAACGCTGCTGGCACCCACCCACCCGACTAGAATCACTACTCTCGGCGCGTCTGACCTAGAGTATGTGGACAACTACAAATACCTAGGTGTCTGGTTAGACTGTAAACCATCCTTCCAGACTCACATTAAGCATCTCCAATCCAAAATTAAATCTAGAATCGGCTTCCTATTTCGCAACAAAGCCTCCTTCACTCATGCTGCCAAACATGCCCTCGTTAAACTGACTATCCTACCGATCCTTACAAAATAGCCTCCAACACTCTACTCAGCAAATTGGATGTAGTCTATCACAGTGCCATCCGTTTTGTCACCAAAGCCCCATATACTACCCACCACTGTGACCTGTACGCTCTTGTTGGCTGGTCCTCACTACATATTCGTCGCCAAACCCACTGGCTCCAGGTCATCTATAAATCACTGCTTGGCAAATACCCGCCTTATCTTAGCTCATTGGTCACCATAGCAGCACCCACCCGTAGTCTGCGCTCCAGCAGGTATATCTCACTAGTCATCCCCAAAGCCAACACCTCCTTTGGCCGCCATTCCTTCCAGTTCTCTGCTGCCAATGACTGGAACAAACTGCAAAAATCTCTGAAGCTGGAGACTCTTATCTCCCTCAATAACATTAAGCATCAGTTGTCAGAGCACCTTACCGATCACTGCACCTGTACACAGCCCATCTGAAATTAGCCCACCCAACTACCTCATCCCCATATTGTTATTTATTTTGCTCATTTGCACCCCAGTATCTCTATTTGCACATCATCTCTTGCACATCTATCATTCCAGTGTTAATACTAAATTGTAATTATTTTGCACTATGGCCTATTTATTGCCTTACCTCCATAACATGCTACATTTGCACACACTGTATATATATTTTCTGTTGTATTTTTGACTTTATGTTTTGTTTACCCCATATGTAACTCTGTGTTGTTGTTTATCGCACTGCTTTGCTTTATCTTGGCCAGGTCGCAGTTGTAAATGAGAACTTGTTCTCAACTGGTTTACCTGGTTAAATAAAGGTTAAATAAAAAATAAAATAAAATAAAAAAGCCCAGTGTGCAGGAGCTTCTTACCTTCCAATGACATTTGAACATTTCAGATGCACCTGCTCAAGCAAACCAGAGACTTTCAGGGCTGTTTTCCCGGACTAGCCTAGTCCTGGACTAAAACTCATGGTCAATGGAGAATCTCTTGGCTTAATCCGTGCCTGGGAAACCACCCTCCAGAGCGTTTCATTTGGACAGTAAAGCTTAACATAATCAACTCTAAATTCTCTGTATAAAAAGTCCTCCAAATCATTATTCCTTCTTTCCTTTGCTTCCCTTTGGAATAACTGAGAATCATCATAAAGATAAACTCTCTGCAAGTCACTACCGCATTCTTCTATTGTTGCCGCTTTCTTAGTGACCAAGTTTATTCTAAAGAGATCCCTCACACACAGATTTAACTGAATTCCTGTATGGTTAACCATCAGCTAAAACATAGGCCTAATTATGGCACAATCACCGTAGATACAAGCTTTACTATCTTCTTGCTTCAACGAATTTGTGCCTCACCAAGGTAACCAAATGACATTGATGCTATTAGAGCTGTTATTGTGTCAGATTCCTGTCTTTGAAAGAAACAGGAAGCTGCATGAGCATGGCAACACAGAGACATCTAGTGGACAACACTGGTACTTTTGGGTAGAGGACTAGTTCATTGATTCATCGGCCATTTACATTTACATTTTAGTCATTTAGCAGACGCTCTTATCCAGAGCGACTTACAGTTAGTGAGTGCATACATTCTTTTTAATATTTTTTTTTTATACTGTCCCCCCGTGGGAATCGAACCCACAACCCTGGCGTTACAAACGCCATGCTCTACCAACTGAGCTACATCCCTGCTGGCCATTCCCTCCCCTACCCTGGACGACGCTGGGCCAATTGTGCGCCGCCCCATGGGTCTCCCGGTCACGGCTGGCTACGACAGAGCCTGGATTCGAACCAGGTCTCTAGTGGCACAGCTAGCACTGCGATGCAGTGCCTTAGACCACTGCGCCACTCGGGAGAATAAGGGCATTCATCCCTTGACCATACACAAATGCTAGTGTACTCCTCTATATTGTGTGTTTATATGATGTACACCTCTGTATGCGTGTTGGTGATGATGAACATAAAATATGACCGTCCGTCCGTCCGTCCGTCCGTCTGTCTGTGCATAGTCTTACCCGGCGGGTCTCTCTGGCTCGCTGGGGGGCTCAGCAGTACATTTGAAGGTGACCCTCCTGACAGCAGAGACTGGAGGCCCTTGAGCTACTAGCCTTCCCGGGGCCCCTGGCCCCACATTCCTGACCCGCCTCTCCTCCTCCACCAAGAGGTCCCGGAACGCCTGAGACGAAGGGGGTGTCTGGACTGGAGTGGCCCTTAGGAGAGGAGAGAGGCGGAACCACATTCAACAACATTTGATCATCAAAAGTGCTACTTCTGAGCATTAAAAAGTACTACTTTTACTAACAGCTGAGGGAATAGGCAGATTTTGTATTTGTACATGAAACAACATCTTCAACACAAATGAGAGACCGGGAGAGGACCTACTCTATTACATAGGGACTGTCGCAACAACCCACCACCTTCTGTGCTGGCTCTGATTTCAGGAGCGTTCCTTATGGAGGGGAGCTTACCATGCTTTCGCGCTCTTCAGGGGAGTAATGACTGGTGCCGATTTGGACAGGGCACACTCTGCACTGCCCTCCTTGGTTGCCATGGCGATCATCTTCCTCTGCTTCTGGGAGAGCTTGGCTGGGAGAGGGGACTGCTTGCTGCTGCTGCCAACACTGCCAGGACTTTTGGGAGTGGCTCCGAGACTTTGTGTCTTCGAGCTGGCCTCCATATCCATGATGGCCCTGAGGGCCAAGACAGGAAGTGGCAGAGCAGGACTGGAGAGAGAAACGACACAAGGTCACATAAAGTTCCACCCCTGACCCCTGACCTGGTCCACAGTGACCTGGCTCACCTGGCTGTGACTTTGGGGATGGGCTCTGGAGCAGAACTCTTTGGGGGTCCGGCGGGGAGGCTGTTCCTCATGGTGGTGGTGGGGGTGCTGGGGGGAGTCTTCAGCCTGGGACCTCCTCCAGCCCTCTCCTCCTCGGGCCTGTCGTGGAACACGGGGGACTGGAGGTCTCGGGGGCTGCCCACACCCATGTAACTGCCCTCAGAGTCAGATGTCATCAGCTCCTGCAGAGACTCCATGGAGTTGGTCTTTCCTGACTTCACCAGGCTGGGAGAGAGGACTGAGACTAGAAGAGACATATCATAATCCATATCAGCCCAACTCCAATGAAAGGAAATAATTATTGCGTGCCGTGACACAGTGTGTGTGTGTGTGTGTGTGTGTGTGTGAGTGAGGATGGGTGAGGGTGTGTGTGTTCTACCTGCAGCGGGTGGGCTCTGGATGATGTCAGAAAGGGTGTAACCCCCTGAGCTGTCGGAGCGTCGCCTAGGCTTTCTCTTGGCCTTCAACTTAGCCTTCTTCAACAGAGTCTCCCTGAGAGGAGGAGAATGATGAAGAGGAACAAGTTCGACCACGGTTCAAATGTTAGGGAGGTTATTGGGTGGATGCATTTCATTCCAAAACATTGGAACCTAGTTTCAGCACCAATTCAGTCCCATCTCATTCATGACGGGGAGTGAACGAGGGAGCAACTTTGTGGAATGAGATGCAGCCACAGTGTTGTACAGTAGTTTGATAGATAGTACCTGCAGGAGTAGTCCAGTTCAGTGTCAGCTTTAGAGCTGAATGAAGAGTCCCAGTCCTCGTCCTCGTACACACTGAGGTCCGGGCCGTCTGGGTAAGGCGTGATCAGTCGCTTCTGCATGGCCGGAATCTGACAGGAACAGGATGGTAACAGGTCAGTTCGTCAGAACCGACGGTCGTGTTCAGTTCAGAACCCAGGGTCGTTTTCAGTTCAGAACCCAGGGTCGTTTTCAGTAGGCATCAAATGGATGAAGAGAGTGAAACAGGGTGGGACTATCTGAGAAACCCTCCAATAAGAAACCCTATTTTTTGTTTGGAAAAGTTCTCTGTTGAGTTCCCCTAATGAACATATGCCAGGTAACTCACTATACAGTTGATGCAGGTATGGTCATGGCACTGAGGGGAAATGACTCACCATCCTCCTGTAGGAGGCAGAGAGCTCCACCAGCACGTCATCACTCAGGATATCCAGCGCTCTGAAGAGATACAGCGAGAGATACAGATATATAAAGTTAGAGAGGGAGGGAGGGTTAGAGAGAGGGGAGGGGGAAGGAAAGAAAGAGCGAGAGGGTGAATCATCATCGGTTTCCTAAGAACTATACAGCCTCTGTAAGCATGTTCACATAACAACATAAGCCATACATACAAATGGAACACACTAAAAACACAGATACGGTATACACACTCACTTGGACTCGAGCAGGGCAGCCATGTTGAGCACGATGAACTGGATGCAGGACAGTTTGAGCTGCTCAGCGTTGTACATGGCAGAAAACTGCAGCAGCTCTGCAGCGTTCTTCAGAGTCACTGAGGAGACAGAGGAAGCTGTTTTTAAAAACCAGGACAGTGCTCTCACACAAGTGAGACAACAAAGCAGTTTCATATCATGTTGACAGGTGTGATGGAAATTCTCTCTCTGTGTGTATCAGATCATACGTTTAAAATAATGCTGCTTTGTAATTACATGTCTTGGTTGGGTTCATGCGAGTGACGGATTGACCACACACAGGAGTAAACCATAATATCACTGATAAGCAATTTGGCAGTACGCCCAGAACATTGCTCTGGGAACTAAAAGGAGTATCTCAGTTTCAAGGTCCCAGCTTTGAGAGAAGAAGCCTCGTGAGGTATCAGTCAGTCACATGCAGGAACCAATGTTAATAATGAATAATGTAAATCATGCATATATGACTTGTTTGTGTAGCAGTATATAAAGACTGAAAGGGAACGTCCTTTTCAGAGTTTTCATCAAGCTTGGATTGAGTTTGTGAACCTCTCCGGCCGTGATAATAAAGAGTGATTCATTTAATATTGACTTCAGGTGTGCCTGGTGTTGAATTTCCACCACACAGGCATGAGAGAGGAGAGGACAGAGGAATAAGAGAGGAAATGAGGGAAGAGAGGGCTAAGAGGACAGAAGGAAGATGAGAGGACGTACGGTTCTCAGTAATGGCCACTTCACACATCTCCTTCAGTCGGGTGATGAGAAGCTGATCGGCCACCACCAACACGTTGCAGACAAACTCTACATTCAGAGTCTCTGGAAGAGGATAGAGACAGACTTTTAGCTTCCACTATGTAGCATTCAACTAACTACCTTGTGCATCAAGATCGGAGTCAACATGATGAGGTTCATAAATATCATTATGGTTAGCCACATGATAATTATTTTTAACTCAATATTTATTTAATGCACTTATTTGACAGGGACAGCGCACATTTATCAACATTTCAGTGTTCACATCACTGTATATGTACCCAAGTTAGCAAAAGAGCTAATTCCCATCCATAGTCCCTAAGCATTTTTCACTGAGTATGTGTGTGTGTACAGGTTGTATATGCATGATCTGGTGTGTTCTGTGTACCTTTGATAGTGGGACACTCGTCAGTGTAGACATATTCTAGGATGACCTGCAGTATCTCTGAGCTGGTGGGCATCTCCAGTGCACTACAAGAAGTGGCCTGTGGGTGGCACACAACAACTACATTACCAACACTGATCACAAGTAGCAGCACAGGTATTACTCAAGAACAATGCCAGACAACGTTTTCAGAGCCAAAGAGTCAATGGTTACTTCTGGCAATATTAGTGTACAATGAGCAAGACCTCCAATTGCCAGCAACTAAAACAGCCATTTTATAATTGTATAAACTAATACGGATTGACAAATATGAAATACCATCAAAGACATGGCAAAACATAACATGACATACCTCTATCCAGGGGTTCCCCAGCATACTGTGGAAGTACTCTGAAACACATACATGACATGTTTACAATCAATTTTCAAGAATCCTTTTCAAATCATCTCCCAGACACAATTGAGATTCTCCATTGAGCATGCTTTTTAGTCCAGCACGAGGCTTAATCTGTGTATGGAAAACTGGCCCCATAGCTTTAACAAATGACTGGCAAATGTAGTGTCAGATGTCTACAACCTTGAATAACCTGAACCCACAGTTCACCCCTCACACTCCAAGAAACGCAACAATATGTTGACACATTGTAGCTCACCGAGTCTGGCACACAGTACACACTTGTGACAGGGGAACTCCTTGCCATCCTCAGACCTCAGAGTGACATCACAGAGGTAGGAGCTTGGGAGAGACACAAATACAACTTAGACTGAACAATATCTCCTCTCTGAATATCTGAATGTCATCTGACAAGGACACAACAATTGAATAGAATCACAGAACATTGACTTGAATGGGAATGTCCGTTCTAGTAATTATCTTTCTATGAACACAACATTGTCTCAGGTAATCTGCCACATGGCAATTACTCACCACTTTTTCTGGTTGAATCGTGGCTTGTTGCCCATCTTCTTATGCACTACATTGATCTTCCCGTTTTCATACTTCACTCCATCCAAACTGTAATAAATGTATAGTAAATCTGTATTTAACAAACCCCCATAAGGTCGATGCCCGTGCTGAAATCTAATTAGCATAATACAACATTGCCATCAAAATCTGACGAAGTGAATACGTTTTTTGCATGGGCTGTGTCTCAATCCAACGCATCCGCCGATGTCGGCCTTCCGCATCTGCGGTGGAAGGTGGCAGAGCTACAGCGGTGTTTATCTCACGAAACGTCTGCAGTGTCCGAACGATTTGGGCTAGAAACTATTTGAACACGAACGGGTTCTCCGTCTTGCTCTACGACATCCACAAGCTTCACAGGACTCATCTCAAGTCGCTAACACCAGCATCCCAACTGCGAACAGGTATCCAAAAAAACTTTTGTAAAGTCCAAATGGTTTGAACTACAAACTAATATGACCCCACCGTCGAAAGCTGAGACCCTCACGACCGTGTTCTATGTTTTGCTCTACGATGCCCCCAAGTTTCACGAGACTCGTCTCAAGGTAACCCCGTAAAAAATGACTGAATATGAATAGGATTTTTTGGGACCAGGGTAACACACGTAACCTTTTTTTTTATGCTTTCCTATATACTGTATTTCAGATGCATTTGAGACCTCTCAAACCATACTTCCTTTTGATAAATGTTTTGACTATCTGTTTTGCCATTATGAATATGTTATTCAATGCGTTTCTAAGGCTAATAGCAAAAGGCCAAATTCAATGCCTTGATTTGCACACTCTTGGCATTCTCTCAACCAGTTTCATGAGGTAGTCACCTGGAATGCATTTCAATTAACAGGTGTGCCTTGTTAAAAGTTTATTTGTGGAATTTCTTTCCTTTGTAATGCATTTGAGCCAATCAGTTGTGTTGTGACAAGGTAGGGGGGTATACAGAAGATAGCCCTATTTGGTAAAAGTCCATATTATGGCAAGAACAGCTCAAATAAGCAAAGAGAAATGACAGTCCATCGTTACTTTACGACATGAAGGTCAGTCAATCTGGAACATTTCAAGAACTTTGAAAGTGCAGTCCCAAAAACCATCAAGCGCTATGATGAAACTGGCTCTCATGAGGACCGCCACAGGTAAGGAAGACCCAGAGTTACCTCTGCTGCAGAGGATAAGTTCATTAGAGTTACCAGCCTCAGATTGCAGGCCAAATAAATGCTTCACAGAGTTCAAGTAACAGACATCTCAACATCAACTGTTCAGAGGAGACTGCGTGAATCAGGCCTTCATGGTCGAATTACTGCGAAGAAACCATTACTAAAGGACACCAATAGGAAGAAGATACTTGCTTGGGCAAAGAAACAAGAGCAATGGACATTTGACCGGTGGAAATGTGTCCTTTGGCCTGATGAGTCCATATTTTAGATTTTTGGTTCCAACCGCCGTGTCTTTGTGAGACGCAGAGTAGGTGAACGGATGATCTCTGCATGTGTAGTTCCCACCGTGAAGCATGGAGAAGGAGGTGTGATGGTGTGGGGGTGTTTTCTGGAGACACTGTCAGTGATTTATTTAGAATTCAAGGCACACTTAACCAGCATGGCTACCATAGCATTCTCCAGCGATACGCCATCCCATCTGGTTTGCCTTTGTGGGACTATCATTTGTTTTTCAACAGGACAATGACCCAATACACCTCCAGGCTGTGTAAGGGCTATTTGATTAAGGAGGAGAGAGATGGAGTGCTGCATCAGATGACCTGGCCTCCACAATCACCCGACTTCAACCCAATTGAGATGGTTTGGGATGAGTTGGACCGCAGAGTGAAGGAAAAGCAGCCAACAAGTGCTCAGCATATGTGGGAACTCCTACAAGACTGTTGGAAAAGCATTCCAGGTGAAGTTGGTTGAGAGAATGCCAAGTGTGTGCAGAGCTGTCATCAAGGCAAAGGGTGGCTACTTTGAATAATCTAAAATCTATTTTGATTTGTTTAACACTTTTTTGGTTACTACATGATTCCATGAGTTACTTCATAGTTTTGATGTCTTCACAATTATTCTACAATGTAGAAAATAGTAAAAATAAAGAAAAACCGTTGTATGAGTAGGTGTGTTCAAACTTTTGACTGGTACTGTATATCTTTTTTTATACCTAATGGGGTCCTAAAATTCCAAATCAAATAGCTAAATGATCCATGGTATAACCATCTTAAAACAATTCCATATCTTAGCTTAGTAGACCCCCACACCCCCCAAAATCAGGCCAATGGTGTCTGAGATTTTGCGTGTGACAAACGTACGTACAGTTGATTACTATAGCGACCCCTTGGGCCAATCAGGGTAATTTTGTGAATGCCAGATCTCTATGGCAAGAAGCATCATTCACCCAAGTTTCGTCAAAATCGTACGTGACGTACGTACTAACGGACGGAGACAGACCCACAGTCCCCTCCACGATTTAATCGCGGGGGACAACAATAATAACCAACTCAGTCCTCACCGTGCCGACAGACTGCCCATGCCCAGCTTCTTGGCCACACCCTGTAAGGTCTTGACCGGGTTGACTCTTCCTCCCTCTCCAGCTCCGGCCTTGCCTCCCTTGCCTTTTTTCCCAGGCTTGGTGCCCTTGCTTTTGGGCTTGTCTCCGTCCCCTCGGGCAGAGGGGGTCAGCGAGCAGTACACCTCCAGGGCCGAGCAGCCCCTCAGGTTGCCCTCATGGAAGCTCAGGTCCTGCAGGCTGCTGATCAGATGCTCCTGCTCCGGGTCTGGGCCATGTTGATTCTGTTTCTGGCCGAAGACTCGTGGCCGGTGGTCCTGCACCAGCAGCTCACAGAAATCGGTGTAGATGAACTTCAGGGCGTGCTCCAGCATCTCAGGGCTCACCTTCTCCAGCACCAGCAGGTCACAACCCACCGCGTCCTCGCTCCTCCTCACCTCCCCGTCTCCCTCCTCCCAGTCTGGCACCAGCTGCTTCCTGAAGAACTCGGACCTCATGGACAGGAGGTACTTGTGGGCGGGGAAGGTGCGGTCTCCGGCCTGCAGGGTCACGTCATGAATGCTATCCGTCTCGTCCGCTTCCTCCAGCAGGTTCCGGAAGTGTTGGGAGAAGGAGGAGCGAGATACGCTGGGAATCTCATACAGGCTGGGTGGGGGAAGGAGAGAGATCAGGGTCACGTTCACTAGGTACGAAATGCTAAAAAAATTTGTTAAACAGGGATGTACTATCTGAATTTACCCAATAACAAACACTTCTTGTCCATTTCAAAACTTCTTGTTACGGTGTGGCCTAATGAAGACATAGTTCAAATGTTATAAAGGTGCGACAACACACAGAGAGGAACAGTACCTGGTTTTGGGGTCCGACTGCAGCACTCCAAAGTTGCGTCCCTTGGAGTCCATGGTGATGCTGACCGCACGGTGGACGTAGGGGAGCTTCTCCAAGCGGATTCGCTCGTACACAGTTCCACCCTCAGGGAGACCACACACCTCCACACTACCATCTAAAGCACACAAGGGAGAAATGGTTTAGTCAAATGACAATGCAGTGATTCTAACTTACTTCCCAATGATTAAAATAGTAAACAACATTACTTACGTTCAAGAGTGCAAAAGAGTACTTTTGAATCTAAGTCTTGTATACTATTTTTCCATACTTCATGAAGTTAATCATCCACCATACATATAAAAGAGGAAAGTGTGAAAGAGTACTTGTAGTACTCAGAGGTATCATTATTAAACAATTTTCTCATCTCACCTTTCTTCTCCACGCTCTTCCTGTACTCTCCGTGCCACTGTCCGCTGAAGCCCTCCCCTTCCTGTGTGACAAACATCATGTTGTTCCTGCTCAGGGCGATGTCCGACATGAACACCTGGCGCCCGTACGCCCACCTGCATTGTCTCACTGAACCGCCTACTGAACGCCAGCAGAACACCTGATAGAGAGAGAAATCAATACAACTTTAATAATCCAGAGGGACAATTAGAAAGACATTGTCAGTGTGTGGCGACAACAAATACATTGAATAAACACAAAAGATCATACAGATCAACACACATCTCATCATCAACCAAACTTCATATGGAGTGAATCGTTTGCACATTAAGAATCCACCAACAAATGGACTGTAGCTAGTCAACACTAAGTATTTGGTATTTTTCAATGTATCCGACCCAGCTGGTCCTTACCCTCCCAGCTTCATCCAGGGCCAGGATGGCCACCTTCTCTCCCCCTCCCTCGTTCAGGACCTGGGGGTCCACACGATGGTCCAGGCTGCCTCCGCTCACAAGGACCTTCCTGATGTTCAGTTGCCTGAAAGAGAGGCATCGGGCATGGGAAAGAAAAACTATGAGTTGATGGAGAGCGAGTGACTGAGCAGAATGATCATGATCATCACATATCTCTCGCTCTCTCTCCTGTTAACCCATAAGAGTCTAAGCCCTTTCTAAGCTGGGGGAGGGGGTAACTACTAAGCTTTATGGAATTGTTTTAAGAAGGTCATACCAAGGATCATTTTGCTATTTGATTTGGAATTTTAAGACCCCTTGAAGTATATATTTGTTTTATTAAAAAAATATATGATGAACAATTATTTTGGGCCTTACTGCTATTAGCCCATACAAAACACATTGAATAACAGATTCACTACATGAAACAACAGATAGTCCCCCCAAAAAGTTTGTTCTGAAGTGCCTATCCTATATCTGAGAGATACATGTATTTAACCCCTTATTCTTGTCACTAAACAGTCTCCATATATACACTATATATACAAAAGTATGTGGACACCCCTTCAAATTAGTGGATTCGGCCATTTCAGACACACCTGTTGCTGACGTGTTTAAATCTCCATTGACAAACATTGGCAGCAGAATGGCCTTACTGAAGAACTCAGTGACTTTCAACGTGGCACCGTCGTAGGATGCCACCTTTCCAACAAGTCAGTTCGTCACATTTCTGCCCTGCTAGTGCTGCCCCAGTCAACTGTAAGTGCTGTTATTGTGAAGTGGAAACGTCTAGTAGCAACAACGGCTCAGCCTCAAAGTGGTAGGACACACAAGCTCACAGAATGGGACCGCCGAGTGCTGAAGCGCGTAGTGCGTAAAAATCGTCTGTCCTCGGTTGCAACCCTCACTACCGAGTTCCAAACTGCCTCGAAGCAACGTCAACACAAGAACTGTTCGTTGGGAGCTTCATGAAATGGGTTTCTATGGCCGATCAGCCGCACACAAGCCTAAGATCACCTTGGTACCAGTAGGTCGCTGAGAGGTCTTGAAATGGGATCTGCTCCCCACTGAGCAAAGGTCATGAAAATGTGCAGGTCATGAAAATGTGTGTAAAATATAGAAGCTAAACAGCAACCTGCCATAAGACAATTATGAAACTCTAAAGTTTGGTCATTACCTTTCAATATTACATCTGATGTGTCAATAATGTATCTAACCCAAATACTTGTCAAAATCTGTAGTAAACTAGGAATGCATGCCACCCTATGACATTATGAGCTGTAGCAGAGCACTAGAGCTGACGCAATGCCAAGCGTCGGCTGGAGTGGTGTAAAGCTTGCCGCCATTGGACTCTGAAGCAGTGGAAACGTGTTCTCTGGAGTGATGAATCACGCTTCACCATGTGGCAGTCCGACAGACAGATCTGGGTTTGGTGGATGCCAGGAGAACGCTACCTGACCGAATGCATAGTGCCAACTGTAAAGTTTGGTGTAGGAGGAATAATGGTCTGGGACTGTTTTTCATGGTTCGGGCTAGGCCCCTTAGTTCCAGTGAAGAGAAATCTGAAGGCTACAGCATACAATGACATTCTAGACGATTCTGTGCTTCCAACTTTGTGGAAGGCCCTTTCCTCTTTCAGCATGACAATGCCCCCATGCACAAAGCGAGGTCCATACAGAAATGGTTTATCAAGATCGGTGTGTAAAAGCACTTGACTGGCCTGCACAGAGCCCTGATCTCAACCCCATCGAACACCTTTGGGATGAATTGGAATGCAGACTGCGAGCCAGGCCTAATCACCCAACATCAGTGCACGACCTCACTAAAGCTCGAGGCTGAATGGAAGAAAGTCCACAAAGCAATGTTCCAACATCTAGTGGAAAGCCTTCCCAGAAGAGTGGAGGCTGTTACAGCAGCAAAGGGGGGGACCAACTCCATATTAATGCCCATGATTTTGGAATGAGATGTTCGACGAGTAGGTCTCCACATAACTTTGGTCAAGTAGTTACATAAATTAGAGCAAAACAACCGACATGTACGTGTTCGTGAGAAGTTGGCAGATTGGCTGTACCGACTTCAGACGAGTCCCAAGACGCTTGTAGGGGTCGTGGAGCAAACACCATCGTGTTCGTGAGAGTCATCTTTCCATAGAGGGGTCATAATAGTTTGTAGGCCAAACCGGTCGGACGCTACAGACGATTATTGAGAAGACCAATTTTCACGATGTCCTTTCTCATCTCACCTTTCTTCTCCACGCTCTTCCTGTACTCTCCGTGCCACAGTCCGCTGAAGCCCTCCCCTTCCTGTGTGACAAACATCATGTTGTTCCTGCTCAGGGCGATGTCTGACATGAACAACTGGCGCCCGTACGCCCACCTGCATTGTCTCACTGAACCGCCTACTGAACGCCAGCAGAACACCTGATGGAGAGAGAGAGAAATCAATACAACTTTAATAATCCAGAGGGACAATTAGAAAGACATTGTCAGTGTGTGGCGACAACAAATACATTGAATAAACACAAAAGATCATACAGATCAACACACATCTCATCATCATCCAAACTTCATATGGAGTGAATCGTTTGCACATTAAGAATCCACCAACAAATGGACTGTAGCTTGTCAACACTAAGTATTTGGTATTTTTCAATGTATCCGACCCAGCTGGACCTTACCCTCCCAGCTTCATCCAGGGCCAGGATGGCCACCTTCTCTCCCCCTCCCTCGTTCAGGACCTGGGGGTCCACACGATGGTCCAGGCTGCCTCCGCTCACAAGGACCTTCCTGATGTTCAGTTGCCTGAAAGAGAGGCATCGGGCATGGGAAAGAAAAACTATGAGTTGACGGAGAGCGAGTGACTGAGCAGAATGATCATGATCATCACATATCTCTCGCTCTCTCTCCAGTTAACCCATAAGTCTAAGCCCTTTCTAAGATGGGGGAGGGGGTAACTACTAAGCTTTATGGAATTGTTTTAAGAAGGTCATACCAAGGATAATTTTGCTATTTGATTTGGAATTTTAAGACCCCTTGAAGTATATATTTTTTGTATAAAAAATTATTTGATGAACAATTATTTTGGGCCTTACTGCTATTAGCCCATATAAAACGCATAGAATAACAGATTCACTACATGAAACAACAGATAGTCCCCCAAAAAAGTTTGTTCTGAAGTGCCTACCCTATATCTGAGAGATACATGTATTTAACCCCGTATTTTTAGATTAGAGCAAAACAACCGACATGTACGTGTTCGTTGAGAAGTTGGCAGATCGGCTGTACCGACTTCAGACGATCCCAAGACGCTTGTAGGGGTCATAGAGCAAACACCATCGTGTTCGTGAGAGTCTCATCTTTCCATAGAGGGGTCATAATAGTTTGTAGGCTAAACCGGTTGGACGCTACAGACCATTTTGTGAGAAGACCAATTTTCACGATGGTCTGACAAACACTATTCTAGCTCTGTCACCTTTCACCGCAAATGCGGAAGTGTTACATAGGCGGATCCGGTGGATTGAGAAGTGTTACATAGGCGGATCCGGTGGATTGAGATGCATCCAATGCAAAACAGATATCTCTAGCTTAAACTGTATTATTTTATGCTAATTAGATCGACTTAATGTCATCTCTCTCTCATAAAGAAAATGTTAATGGGAATTCGGTCAATTCAGGAAGTAAACTGAAATTTGTATTACAATTCTTCTCAATGAGAAATTGGAATTGCAGTTTACTTCCTGAGTTGACTGAATTGAAATGGAATTGACCCCAACCAAGGTAGTCACTTCTCCACTATCGGTGTAGTCACCTGGATGCCAACTTCTTGCACTGATAGTCAGCCAGCAGGTAGATATCTCCCTTCTCTGTCACCACCAACGTTGCCCCATTACTGGCCACTGCCATGGTGATGGTGACATCCTTGTGGTAGAGGGCGGACACCTGGCGAGGCGCAGTCACACACCTCTCCCCGTTGGGGTCCAACAGGTAGCCTAGAGGTCAAAAGTCAACCATCACCATATATACAGTCATGGTAGGGGAATAGTAGAGCATATCATTATAGTTGCCTTGGCTTAGCTTCAAGGTAATTGGAAACCACTGTTTTGCTATGGTGTGCCAGTCATCATGACTTACCCAGCTGCCCTCCGTTCAGTCCAACTGTGTAGACAGCCTCCCTGGTCCACAGCACTGTGTGGAATCTCCCCGCTGCTACACCAATCACAGTCCTGCCTTTAAGGGTCTTGGAGAATACCTGCATCCCATTAGACAAGACCAACTCAGTCAACAACCAATCCACACTAATTCAGCATACCACACTTTCAAGTGTCTGCTCTGTGTACATGTTTGTCTTATGATGGGGGCCAGGGGAATCATTTATCAATCATGAGTGGCATGTGCATAAATCATTAATATAACACTTAGTCACTGTGATTTCAGCATTTACATAGGTTTAAGTTGATTGAACAGGCAAACAAACAATTTCTGAGGTAAGTAATATTGCATTGGTTTTGTTTATGCATTTGTCATAATAACAAATAGACAAATTTTACACACACACACACATACATACATACATACATACATACATACATACAGCTAAATGAGGCCCCAGGAGTTTTTCCCTTAGCTTGTCCTACTCCAGTCACATTGTTAGGGAAAACTCCCTATCTAGCTGCCTAGCTATGTCTCTATATGGTCACCAAGCCTGACCAGGTGCTCTCTTACCTGTTTGGGCAGGTGGCTGTAGGCGGGCGGGGGAGCCAGGCCCAGCTGGTGGAAGGTGTTGAGGCCAAAGGTATAGACGTAGCCCTCCTCGGTCAGCACCACCGTGTGGTCCTTGGCTGCAGCCACCTGGGAGCAGTGATGGGACAGGAGCCCCTCCACCATCCGAGGAACCTGACAGATGATAGGGGACAAATAGGCACATGAGCCCAAAATCCACTGCCCTATTTCACTTCAAATCGTTTTTTTAATATATCAAATAGTTTGAGCGTTTGCTTGAGCCTGCCCTGGAGTGCCTTCAAATGGAGCAATATTAAAGTTCACACTTTTGGGACTATTCCATTGGTTCCATTGTACCAGACAAGCTCAAACACATTTCAAAAATGATTTGAACTCAGGTTAACACAGGTAAAAAAAAAGATATTGTTATAGAGGGAGAAGGAGATAAATAAACCCCAGGTACACTCAGGCCACAAACAGTCAGAGTAGGTCATAGGTCAGATACAATACAGTATATTATTCTCACCAGATATGTCTGTTCGTCCCCGTGTCCCAGTCGACCTCCCTGCCCATGTCCACAAGTATACACCTGTCCCTTCTGAGACAGGAACACTGAGTGGAACTTACACAGCACCACCTGAGAGGAAAGGAAACACATAGGTCTATTCAGTGAGATAATTTTGTTCCATTGTCAAATTCTCTTTACAAGTTCTCAAAGAAAAAGACAGCAGCATGTATGACATTGTTGATTGTGCGTGTCTTTCCATTTCCGTGGCCAAAGCCCTCTCGTAGTAATAGTCAAATAGTGGTGGTACTATAGGCCGGGGCACAAGTGGAAAAGTAAACATCATTACTAATGCATCGCTCCCCTCCGGCACTCAAAAGGGCGAAAGGGATGTTTCCCCGAGTATCACATTGATAACGAGACAACCCTACACACATACACACAGCCGTGGCTCATTTAATTAAAGCATGTCATTCTGGGATAAATATTTTACACCCAGCACCTGTTGCACTGAGGACAAAGGCTCTTTGCCTCAACGTGAGGGGTACCAGTAGGTCGCTGAGAGGTCTTGAAATGGGATCTGCTCCCCACTGAGCAAAGGTCATGAAAATGTGCAGGTCATGAAAATGTGTGTAAAATATAGAAGCTAAACAGCAACCTGCCATAAGACAATTATGAAACTCTAAAGTTTGGTCATTACCTTTCAATATTACATCTGATGTGTCAATAATGTATCTAACCCAAATACTTGTCAAAATCTGTAGTAAACTAGGAATGCATGCCACCCTATGACATTATGAGCTGTAGCAGAGCACTAGAGCTGACGATGTCATAGGATTGCATTCACTAGCATAGCTCCCTGTGAAAAGGTCCTTCCTGTCAGCGTCTAAATAACCGCTGGAAAACAGTTCTAACTGATTCTAACCCTAGTTAGGGTCTACATCTTTACAACATTATCTCATACAGTGCATTCGGAAAGTATTCAGACCCCTTGACTTTTTCCACATTGTTACGTTACGGCCTTATTCTAAAATTGGTCAAATAAAATAAAATACTCAATCCACACACAATACCCCATAATGACAAAGCGAAAACAGGTTTAGAAATGTTTGCCAATTTATTAAAAAAACAGATATACCTTATTTACATAAGTATTCAGACCCTTTGCTATAAAACTCTAAATTGAGCTCAGATGCATCCTGTCTCCATTGATCATCTTTGAGATGTTTCTACAAGTTGATTGGAGTCCACCTGTGGTAAATTCAATTGATTGGACATGATTTGGAAAGGCACACACCTGTCTATATAAGGTCCCACAGTTGACAGTGCATGTCAGAGCAAAAACCGAGCCATGAGGTCGAAGGAATTGTCCGTAGAGCTCTGAGACAGGATTGTGTCGAGGCACAGATCTGGAGAAGGGTACCAAAAAATGATTGCAGCATTTAAGGACCCCAAGGAAACAGTAGCCTCCATCATTCTTAAATGGAAGAAGTTTGGAACCACCAAGACTCTTCCTAGAGCTGGCCTCCTGGCCAAACTGAGCAATCGGGGGAGAAGGGCCTTGGTCAGGGAGGTGACCAAGAACCCGATAGTCACTGACAGAGCTCCAGAGTTCGTCTGTGGAGATGGGAGAACCTTCCAGAAGGACAACCATCTCTGCAGCACTCCACCAATCAGGCCTTTACGGTAGAGTGGCCAGATGGAAGCCACTCCTCAGTAAAAGGCACATGACAGCCCGCTTGAAGTTTGCCAAAAGGCACCTAAAGACTCAGACCATGAGAAACAAGATTATCTGGTCTGATGAAACCATCTGGAGGAAACATGGCACCATCCCTACTGTGAAGCATGGTGGTGGTAGCATCATGCTGTGGGGATGTTTTTCAGCGGCAGGGACTGGGAGGCTAGTCAGGATCAAGGGAAAGATGAACGGAGCAAGGTACAGAGAGATCCTTGATGAAAACCTGCTCCAGAGTGCTCAGGACCTCAGATTGGGGCGAAGGTTCGCCTTCCAACAGGACAACGACCCTAAGCACACAGCCAAGACAACGCAGGAGTGGCTTCAGGACAAGTCTCTGAATGTCCTTGAGTGACCCAGCCAGAGCCCCGACTTGAACCCGATCTAACATCTCTAGAGAGACCTGAAAATAGCTGTGCAGAAACACTCCCCATCCAGCCTGACAGAGCTTGAGAGGATCTGCAGAGAAGAATGGGAGAAACTCCCCAAATACAGGTGTGCCAAGCTTGTAGCGTCATACCCAAGAAGACTCGAAGCTGTAATCGCAGTAAAGGGTCTGAATACTTAATGTGACTTCAGTTTTTAATTTTTAATAAATTGGCAAAAATTTCTAAAAACCTGTTTTTGCTTTGTCATTATGGGGTAGTGTGTAGATTGATGAGGGGGGAAACAACTATTTAATCCATTTTAGAATAAGGCTGTAACTAGACAAAATGTGGAAAAAGTCAAGGGGTCTGAATACTTTCCGAATGCACTGTACATCTCTACAACATTACCTAAAAAAGACCAAGTTATCTTACAAGGTTTCTTCCTCAGACCTCTCAGCACCCTCTATACCAGGGATCATCAACTAGATTCAGCCGCGGCCGATTTTCTTTGTTGAGCAGATGTTCGGGCGGCCGGAACATAATTCCAAATAATTTGTAGACTGCAAATTGTACGCAAAAAGCCCAAACAGATAATGTTTGACTAAAGCATAATCATTTCAAACCGTGCTTACATTTGTATACGAGCATGTGTCTCTCTATTATGCTTGGGAATACTTGGGAACAGATTTCTTAAATTAAAATCACTTGGAGCTGATTTCCTGGTGTCTTATGTCCAACAATGAAAATAAATAAAATAAAAAATGTTGCTCCGAAAATTAGGGGCCAAATAAAAGAACCCGCAGGCCAAACACGGACAATAGCTGTAATAACACTAAGAGCCTCCACATGGCCATCAGTGAAACTGTAGAGTGGCCCGCACATAAAGCCAACGTGGGTTTAACCATGCAGAGCTGGGCTAGACAAAGCCAGACACAGAACCCAACCCTAGTGCACCTCTCCTAATCCTCTCATTCATTCACTCTCTCACTCAGCAGCTCACTCAAAGAAGACTACGACTGATATTTCCATTTCTAAAACGCCCAAATCCATAGTGAAAGGAGGACAATGATGTCAGTGTTTCCCCTTTATTCTTTTAGCAGCGGCGGACTGTCTCTAAATTGTTGCCACCACACCAAAAAAAATATGGAACAGGAAAAAATATAGCGATGCAAATGATAACTGTCTTCTGGTAGATGGAAAGGCTTTCCCAAATACCTTCTCAATGAAATGTTAACTAACTAAAAAGTAACCTATGCCTACCTGGTAGAATCATTTCATGATTATTTGCATCAATCCAGTGGGCATTTGTTGTGCTAACTCCATCACGTGCTACAGAAACACTAACCAAACAGTGCTAGGTGCATGTGCACTTGAATTAAAAGGTAACTACATTGGATGTTTCCCAGACCTCAAAAGTGGTCTCCTGATGTGGTTTTAGCATTGTTATGTGAGAGCTACATAATAGCCAGTTACCATTGCTGTCATTTTACCCCTTATACTGTACACAACCACCCAATAAGAACAATGGCAATTTATACAAACACATTTGTTTCCTAGTTTCTACTCATGCCCATTGTTCCTGGGAGAGCAGCCTGTTGTGAGGGGAATATCCCAGGAGGGGGTCTGTTTTGCAGGGAGGGGGGACCCAGGTGACATGCCTGTTATCCAGGAGACACAGGTGAGACAACCGTGTTTTTACATAAGCATTGTTGTGATGGATCCCCCTGGTGAGCCATATATTGAGGCCAAGTCTGTGTGGAGGGAGGAGGCCCCAGGAGACTAGGGTGTTTAAGGTAGGGAAGCCCTATCATGACTCATGTGACTATATAACAGCTGTTGGCAAACAGAGGCAGAACATCTCTTTCCCTTAAGAGGAAAAGAATAGAGCGAAGACCGAAAATGTATTGGATCTCTACAGTAGTCGGTTTGTTTACCTGTTTGACATAAACCCCGGTCCGGGCGAACAGATCCACAATCTCCGGGTGATGCCTGCTCTCCTGGTTCCCGTGCCCCAGACTGAAATTGGTGTTGTTCCCCCAAGTATAAACCTCAGTGGGGTCTGGGAGAGAGAAAACAAAAGTTACAAAACAATGCTTGCCACAGCCAAGAATTCAACACTATTTTCTCCATGTAGGCAACAACAATTGTCAACTGTCGTGACTATGTGCTTTAAAGAAACATCCACTTTTTATCATGCATAGTCTAAATGAGAGATGGCTATGAAATGGTAAGTGATCCTCACCCGTCTTTGTAAACACCACGTGTGCTGGTCTGTCCTTCATGGTTATGTCCAAGACAGAGAGGCCCTCCTTATCCTGGGTGGAGAGAATGCCGCCATGCTGCAACACAGAAGCACCATTCTAGTCTAGAGCGACAATATTATTTCCCTATACCTACATCTAGCTGTAGGCAAGTGATGTATCGGGCAAGAATAGAGTAGCTACAGTACAATAGTACTTCCAATGGAAGCCATATAAATGTCTTCCTCCACATACCAATCATTTATGTAGAGGCCAAAGGAGGCTCCGTCATCTAAACATTCGTTCTGAATCCCTGAAACACAGAGGGAGACTCACCTTAACCAGTGACATGAGGCAGTGGATGTGTCCGTAGAAGACGCTGCGGTGCAGGGCGGTCCAGCCAGACTCCTTGTCCTTCACCATGAGGTCAGCTCTCTTGCTCTCCAGCAGCCATTCCAGCAGAGACCTCTTACCCAGCGAAGCGGCCAGGTGCAGAGCCGTGCGACCGAAGGCGTCCCTCAGTGTGGCTGCATTGTGGCAGTGGGTGGTGAGGAAGGCCCGCAGGCGCCCCTCTGAACCCCGCGTCAGCGCCGCCACCACCTCATCTGCATGCCGCATGGAGCGGCATTTTGGCGTGCAGTCTGGGGATGCCATCTTCCCACTCATCCTGAGTGACCACTAAACCTTGCAGTAAACCCCCCGCTCTAATTCAGCAATCTTACCCGGTCACGGAGACCCAGCTCCCCCAACTCTAAAACAAAAACACTGGTTAAACCAACCCTTCAGTACAACAACAAACGCTAAAATAATGCTTTAGGTCAAGTCAGTGTGACTTTGAAATTATATTATTTTGTAAGTAGCTGCTCTCGGAAGAAAATAGAAAAAGAACAGGTGGGAGATTGTTTTGGGGTGCTAGAATTGTGCTTGTGTTGAGGTTCCACCGCACCCTAGCAACCCCAGGGCCTTGTTTTAGGTCATCTCAGTCCACCATGTCGACCCAAAGCTCAACACAACCAAATGTGTTTGAAACATACAATGGCATCAGGAATTCAATAAATAAATGTATATAAAATAAAAAATTATATACTTTTATACCAAAGAAAATACAAATATACTATAAATATTTCAAAAAATATTTTCTCCTTTTACAACTTTTGTTAATACAATATTTTACAAAAGGCAACAAGGTCTTTAACCCTCCAGAAAGTCCCTTCAAATAGTCCATCCAAATTGAGGGGAAAGGCCCCCTTTCCCCCCCAAAACACACAAAACCCTTCTCAAAACTCCATAATTGTATTGGGAACCTGGGGAAGAAAGGGTGGACAGTCATTAGTTGTAAAACACTGGAAGCACATGCAAGGCAGAGAAAACAACTGGATTCATAGCTACACAACATAAACCTGGCATGTACTACATTTCTGTCCACAACTCGACAGAACAGGCCTATTCAAAGTGCCATTAAAATGCATGCTCTGGAAAATCCAACATACCCATCTTGCTCTTTAACTGTACTAGGCTACATGGCTTGCTGGGTTTTAACCGTTTAATCTATGTTAAAAGGTCAACAGAGAGGTCAAAGTGCAGTTCAGCACCCCAGATAGGCAGGGACAGCCAGCAAGGATCAATTGACTTGACCCTACTATGCCTATAATAGTAGTCCAGCCAGGCCAAAAATACTGCACAAAAGTCAAATTAAAACGAAAATAAACAAATAAGGGTATCAAAACAGGAACATGCAACTGCAACAGTTTGCCACTGACTGTTTTCACAACATGCACAGCTTGGAGTTGTGAAAGTGAAAAACATGTTAGAGAGTATAATTTAAAAGGTATTTAAATAATGATACATCTGACAGGTCTTTTGCAGACCAATGCATGGTGTGCATTAAATGTCCACAGTGCAGTGAATATAGCTGACATATGTTGATTAGCTACGTAGCCAACACTTAGGAGCCGATACAGTCAAGCTAACGTTAGTTGTCCTAACGTTAAGTCTCTTAGGAGACCAGACATTAGGCCTACATTTCTTCACTCACTGGGCTGCTAGTTACAATACAATCCAGTGGTATTGCAACTAGCTATATGCATGTACACCAACGTTTTTCACCATGATTTAACAGTTTCCTTCAAGTGAATGAAGCGTTCATTCTCTCAATCCTGGCTAGTTACCTACATTGCTAGCTGTAAATTAGCTACAAACCATTAACATATCGGACAATCTCAAATACTTTAATCTAAATAAAACGTGTTACATACGGCACGGGTGACAGTGTATTGTTGGCTTGTTAACCTGATGTGGCCATCGAGGACTGAATGATGTTACTGACACATCATCGCTAGCTTAGTTAAATTAGCTAGGCTAGCGAGTTGCAGTGAAAAGACATTGCCACTATCACATTTCACTTTCTCACCTGCCGCTAGATGAAGACGAAAGTGGTCATGAAGCTTGCTCTAACGGTACACATCCACTGTGTCATAGTTTCAAAAATATATCGCTAAATGCTCTTATTAAACCTGGATATTTTGGCAGAACCGATGCTATTCCGCAGTTAGCTAAGTAACCAAAAAGGAGGGAGGCTAGGCAACACGGAGACTTCTGATTGGTTGAGAGCTCTTGCAATACCATTTTCAATTGGACGGTGTTAGTGTAATCGCTTTAAATTACCATACGAAAAGTCTGGTCAAAACCTCAGTGGTCTGGTTGCATTTGTCAATGTGGAGTCGACTAAGCACTTTAAATCGAAAACTTGCCACAGGTACTGAATGACTGCATAAAAAATATGAACACCGATATGTGCAGCAGGCACAGGAGAACATATATCTCCTAGCCACATATGTAGGTCCCTGATAGCGCCGCCTGTCACAGATGATTGGCACACTGTCAAATGAGTCCTCTCGATGATTGACGTCACTGCTTGGAGAAATAGGCTGTATTTTAAGAAACGAAAAGTGATACCTATTCTGAGTTATGAGCTGGGAGTAGACTCATTAAATTAATGTATTGATTGTTTAATCAACACAATGTGTTGGGGGGGGGGCAGAGTAGGTCCAGGTTTGCCTACAGCTTGTAAATAATACATCATGACTTCAATTAATAAATGCATGAAGGTTCTTGAAAAGGAAAAAATATTTATCCTCCACATCCCTTAGTTTCAAATGATGGTCACCTGGGCTCCAGTTAAGAATAGGTAAGGGGTCAAGGGTGGAGATAGGGTTACACGTTGGGTTCACACCAGGGCTTGACACATAATTACATATTGATGAATCTTTCCTTCTCTAGTCACACATTTACTTTTTTTTGCTACAATAGCTGCATTATCCTGCATTATCCTAGGAGAACAATTATGCTGCTAAAATCAGGAGGCCAGTCATTAGAAACCACGACTAATGAGGAAAGACCAGAAAGACTTTGATACAATACTTTGGTAACACTTTACATTAGGTTATTCTTCAATACCTATGCCTGTGTAGTTATGAAGAATTTCAATTCAAAATGCTATATATCCATTTTCAGAAATGTTGGTAAATACGAATTTTTTTGCTTAAAGAACGTAGAAAGGAGATTGGTGTGGTTTTTCAACATCTAATCATGGCATGGGGTTGTTAAATGACAGACATGTATTTGTTTGAAACCTATCACTAGATGGTTTAATTTCGTAGAGACAAACAATCACATTTTGGAGCAAAATTAGATACAATACATGTGGACACCCCTTAAAATTAGTGGATTTGGCTATTTCAGCCATACCCGTTGCTGACAGGTGTATAAAATCGAGCACACAGCCATGCAATCTCCATAGACAAACATTGGCAGTAGAATGGCCTTATTGAAGAGCTCAGTGACTTTGAACGTGGCACCGTCATAGGATGCCAGCTTTCCAACAAGTCAGTTCATCACATTTCTGCCCTGCTAGAGCTGCCCCGGTCAACTGTAGGTGCTGTCATTGTGAAGGGGAAACGTCTAGTAGCAACAACGGCTCAGCCTCAAAGTGGTAGGACACACAAGCTCACAGAATGGGACTGCCAAGTGCTGAAGCACGTAGTGCGTAAAAATAATCTGTCCTCGGTTGCAATACTAACTACCGACTTCCAAACTGCCTCTGGAAGCAACGTCAGCACAATAACTGTTCGTCAAGAGATTCATGAAATGGGTTTCCATCGCCAAGCAGCCGCACACAAGCCTAAGATCACCATGTGCAATGCCAAGCGTCAGCTGGAGTGGTTTAAAGCTTGCCGTCATTGGACTCTGGAGCATTGGACTCTGGAGTGATGAATCACGCTTCACCATCTGTCAGTCCGACCGACGAATCTGGGTTTGGCGGATGCCAAGAGAACACTACCTGCCCGAATGCATAGTGCCAACTGTAAAGCTTGGTGGAGGAGGAATAATGGTCTGGGGCTGTTTTTCATGGTTAGGCCCCTTAGTTCCAGTGAAGGGAAATCTAAACACTACAGCATACAATTACATTCTAGATGATTCTGTGCTTCCATCTTTGTGGCAACAGTTTGGGAAAGGCCCTTTCCTGTTTCAGCATGACAATACCCCCATGCACAAAGCGAGGTCCATATAGAAATCGTTTGTCGAGATCGGTGTGGAATAACTTGACTGGCCTGCACAGAGCCCTGACCTCACCCACACCCATATAGATGACCCACTGTTGGAATT